TTTTTATGTCTTTTTAGAATAACGGTGATGGGTATAAAGAATTCGGTCGTGACCGACTATACTTTTCTTACTTGTTTATGTATACAAATACATTTCAACCTGATGTTTATCAACAAAATATCAGCTGGAAGAAAAACTTCTTGACGTTTTTCCTAATTGACAGTTTTAGAGAATTGATGGCTGGCTATAGGCCGAATGAGATATGAAAATTTATAGATAATAAAGAAAACATTCTGACATTTGTTAAAGCAGTTAAAAGTAAGTCGGTTTTGAAAATAGGCCAGAATTTTAATTTTATTTTACGTTGAATATTTTATCGACATCAGTCGTATTTAAGGTCTCTTTTCGCTTCCTAACAGAAAATTACAATGTTACAAAGTCAAGGCGGTTTGGTCGATTAGTCGTTAGAAAAATGTAGTGAAATTCTTCGAAAAAGAAGCATGTGGGCTTTCCCTCAAAAAATAATTTTGAATCTTGTCCATGTGGCTGTAAACATGGATCGGCTTCCTATGTGCGGGTGGATGCTGAAAAGAACCGCAATTGGGACAGCGTCGGACGATAATAATATACGAAAAATCGCGAATCAAAGATGGATGAAGCTGCTTCCAAATTGACTTCACTTAAGGTAAAGCTGTGTGTTAGTGGACGGCAATCGTGCGTCATAAACTGCGGTTCTCTGCTGTCAACGTGTATTTGAAAGCATTTGAAAAATTAATCAAATAGAAAAGGTGTCGTTTTCCACCACCACAACGTCAGACCACGTACGTCCTTAGGGACTCGGCTAAAATTTAAGAGATCTTGGCTGGGAAGTTTCGCTGTGTTTCTCTTGTATAGTCCGGGACTTGCCCCCGCCGGTTACCTTTTATGTCGCTCTCAGCCGAACTGAGTCGTCATGATATAAAACGAATTTGAAAATATTTGCTTCAAGTTTTCATCAAAAAATCCCAAAAGAAAAGTGATAAAAGATTAACTATCGATCCAAATTCTTTTTACCGAGGATATATGAAAAATTTATTTGAGTTTTGGTAAAAAAAAAAAATTCGACGAAAATTTACTTTTACGTAATATTGACAGTTTTTATGACATCACTTAATGGTCTGGCGGAATAGAACGATATTAGCAAAAGTGAAGACAATTCAAAGTGTGTATAGTGGTAACGGCCATTAAACTTTAAACTTCATAAAAACGTGCTATTTGTTAGTTGGCTGTTTGTGAGTGTTTCTTTAGTCCACTTTTAAAAGCAATCAGAACAAAAAACTTCCATGCTTTGTGTTTACGTACCCGTTTACGTTTATGTGCACACAGTAACTGTCGTGATTCGAAGCGACTACATTTATAAATAATTTCTTTATCGATTTATTTTTGTATATATATATTTTCTTAAAAACTTTTAAGCCAAGTATTTTTTAAAGAATGTCAAGCCTACGTCGATCCCTCCGCTTAAGGGTAAGGGATCTTAAATTCTATTTTTTTTAAGCTACATAGACCCTTAGCAATGTTCGCTATTAAAATGAAAAAAAAGGAAAGAATTTTTTTTAAGTTTAGAAATTTGCAAACTAGAAAGTTTTTGTATTCTACACCACTGGCGGTGTACGTTAAGTTTGTGCGGGTATATGCAACGCCCAGAAGAACTCGAGATAAATTTACCCTTTTTTATTCCGATCTATTTAGAGTCAGTTTCTGAATCGATCTAAGCTTGTCTGTCCACTTGTCTGTCTTGTTTTTTTGTGCAACCTACAGGCAGCAATTTTTGCAGATATTTTGATAAAATTTCATATATCAATATGTTACGAATCAAAGACGAATCGGACCACTCTCTCGACCCCTTTCCAGGCAACGCCTTATTTCGAAAAGTCGATATATGAATGATCTTAACGTCGTGCAGTTTTGATCTCAAATTTTAAGTTACCAACAACAAAAAGGAAGTTATGTTCGCTCGTGATCGAACCTCCTATACCCATCACCACGGTCCCAAAAATATGAAAAGAAATGCATTTTCATTCATTATGGTATTGAGCAGGCGTGGCTAATTTTCTCTATTTCTATAAAGTTGGAAATTTATATGATAATTGTGTTGTACTCTCTGAGTAAAAAGCAACAAACAAGGAAAGCAAAGACGGCCAAAGTTTATGTTCACAGTCGTGCGGGCCTTTTAGGCGAGTTCTTTGAAAAGTTTTGGTAATTTTCGAATTTTTTTGCACTTTTGTATCTTCACTTTTGCGAACGGAAATATGTTTACCACAGATACAGCAGAGTTGCTCAGGCGGACAGATGCCCAGATGAACGGAAGGAAATGCATAGATGCATTTCCAATTTGAAACTGTCGAAGAATGTGATTTTTGAAATTTGTTTCTGTGCGTTGTGAAGTCTTGGAAAAAATGAGATTATGACACACTATACGATTGAGAAGACGTGGCCGGTTTTTTTCAATTTTTATGAAGCATCGCTGAATCGAATTTACGTTCCACGTTTTGTAGATTTATGTGGTGTAGTTTATGAGTAATGAGAAAGGAACCAGTTTTTAATTCTTTTTCAAAAACAAAAATGTCTTCATTTCATGTAATGCGGTAGGCGTGTCCTTCCGTTCCGATTTGACCCATTCTCAAAACCAAAATCCGTGCAAGAATTTTCAAGGTTTCTGACAAATTTGAAATGGATAGCTTTATATTTGCGTCCAGGAGAGTGTTTACAACAGACATTACACAGACGGACAGACGGCCGGAGGGACAGACGGACACGCTTAAGTCGGACATGTACAGTTTGCTACTTTGCGGGACCTCGAAAGTTTCCTACTGGGCGTTGGAAACGTTTGAACAAAATGAATGTACCCCGTATCCTTCGAGGATGGTTATAAAAATAAGTCGTTTGGATAAAATCGAAAAATCTCGATGGAGTCAGTAAAGTTGAGAGGTAAATTTTGGAATAAAGAAAATAAAAAACCAAATATATATATATATATATATATATCACTGCTTCCACTATAGTACAGATAGCATAAAGACGAACAAAATTTTATTTGCCTGCATCATATGCTGCATGTTGATTTTATGTTTAATTCGTACAATGCAATATTGTACAAGTCATTGAATTTCAATGAACAAAAGTTATGCGCTCGAGGTGTTAGCTAATACCGATATGCTCTAAAGTGAATTTTAAATATTTACTTGTTTAAACGACAATTTTCCTTTTTTTTTTCAATCAGACATATGGTTATTTATACATATATATGTATATGTATATATAATCTAAAAAAAGTGTATATATATATATATACATATAATATTTTATCATCTAAACATTTCCTACTCAAAAACACATTCTTTTTCATCAACCAAATGCAACCCAAATAATTCAACCGACAGCGTCAACAAGAGTAAAAAAAAAAAAAAAGAAGGTAAATAAATGAAAAAAGCAGACTGGAAGTCAATGAAACTGAAAGTTTGACAGGCAAACCGTATATGAAGACATAAAAAGCAAAATTCTAAACTAAGCCGACTTAAAAAAAAAACACAAAACCCTAAGTGCTGCTAATGCAGCATCAGTAGCTCTGAACTGATGTTGACAGCAGCGACAGCAGAATGAAAAAAAAAAAAACTGTAAATTTTTAATCAAATTAAAACGAGATCACCACACACAACGAACAAACGGATACTTAATTGCAAACGGAACCAACACAATTTAGCACAAATTTTATTGAAATGCACACAGATGTCCAAATGTAAAAGTAGATGTTTGCATATGGATATATGTAGCCACATTGTACACAAATACAAACACACACACATACAGAAAATCCAACTTAGGCGTAAAGCAATAGTTAATCACCGCTTTCGTAAACGGGGTAATAGACTGAATTTGCTGTTTAGCCCCTTTTTAGCATTCTTTAGTTTCAGTTGAATTTGAATGGCCACTACTCATACCTTTGGGGTTTATTAATTGTCTCGTTCGATTTGAGAGGCTAACGGTCTAGAATGTTATGGGTGAAATTATGAAGTTGCTTTAAGCAAGTCGTAAGTTGTAAGTTCGCTCCGAGAAGATGTACGCGCAACTATTTCTTTCTTAAAATGTCTTCTTTTTACGATTTCGTTTGGCTTTCCATCATCAAATCATTTTTTCATTCGGCTATCCTAGGAAAACGATTGTCTTTTCATTCGCATTATGCTTCCATTTCTTTCCTTCTACTGTTTTTCTTATCACCTGTTTTGCAGTCTGCTTTTGATCTCCTAGTTCTACGCGACCTTTCTGCCATTTTACGCATGTTTCTGCTCTCCAATCGTTTTTCTTTGTAAAATAGAGTATGGGTTCTACACTTTTTCAATGTAATCATCTTGCCATTTTTTACCAACAACAACAATCTTAGAGAGGAAGAATATAGTAAGGTAATGTTTATTAATTTCTTCTAAATATTCATTCCGTTTATCTGCCATGTCGTCGTATCTATATGTAACTGCAGGGTGATTACAGATTTTACATACCCCAATATTTTAATCTAACTTGCCTAAGTTAAGCATTTGTATAATTTAGAATTACTAAAGTGGACAATAGCCACCACTGGGTTGGTGATGATGATCATAATGATGATGATGATGATGATGATGATGATAATAATAACAATAATGAGATTACATGTTACTATTTGTATTGCTTAGCGCGTTTTGATTACAATAATAAATTTGCCCATGTACAGTTGTGTGCGCGTATAGAGGTTATTATTAAAGCCCTCGTAACGGGTTTTGGGAAAAACGAAAAGAATTCATAAATTTTGCTTCTCTGTGGTATGTTAAGGAAAACATACTAAATCAAATATCAGTAGATATAGTGAGATCATAGTGAACGCGTCGCTGACGCGGTTCGCCTTTTGCAAAGGCAACCAACTAATCATAACTTTTAATAAACCCGTAATAGTGTTTTTTTTTTTAGTGAAATATTTTAATAAAAATTATTTAATTAGAGAAATACAAAAAAAAAAAAAAAAAATTAAATTAAATTTAAAGATTAAAAGTAGAAAATTAATAATAAAATGCAAATCGTTTTAAAGTTTTTATTAATGACGGTGATAATGATGATGATGAGAAATGTTCCTAAGGTTCAATTGGCTCAATTAAGACGCGTATGGATGCAAGATCATTGTCAGAATGGAATTTGTTCGGGTATACATATCGGTCGCAATGATTATGTCATCATGTCTCAGGCTCCGATTGCCAAGCAAATTATGCTGACTTTTGTCAATTCTTCGATAGCGAAGATACCGCATCTAATGTTTGATACCTTTCCCGATTTGCAAGTATTGCGTTTGGAAAATTGCTCGGTTGAGACATTCGAAAGACCACAATTTGATGGTGCAAGTAATTTGATGAGCCTGTTTTTAGGTTATAATCTTCTAAAGGATATACCGAAGAATATCTTTCTGGGAGCTGATAACCTTAACGCATTAACGTTGAACAATAATTTCATTAAAAGTTTGCATAATTCCAGCTTTCATGCGCTTAAAGAGTTAAAGGAACTCAATTTGGCCGATAATCAGTTGGAATTGTTGCCGTTAGGTGTCTTTGCGACAATGCGTAAATTATTAGATTTAAATTTGGCCGGCAATCGTTTTGAATTATTTCCACGCGGCATATTCGATAAAAATTTAAATCTAACACGAGTCAATTTGGCCCGGAATCGTTTTAAGGTTTTCGAATCCGAATTATTTAAAATGCAACCACGTTTAACTTTATTGGATCTGTCTGGCTTAATACTACAGGAGTTGACTTTAAATTTTCCCATTTTGGAATCAATAGTCGCCAATAATTGCGATTTACGTAAGCTGACCGTATACGGTATAGTTAAGGAATTGGAATTGCGCAACAATTCCTTAAGAGAAATACCTCATATGCCGAACGCCAGCAATGTGACCAGCCTCGATTTATCGCATAATCCTTTGGGCAATTTACAAGGCAATCCTTTAAGACGTTATACCGGCTTGTTGCGTTTAAATTTAAGTGCCACCAATATGCATGATCTACCTGAAGGAGTTTTCAAAAAACAAAATCACCTAAAACTATTGGATATTTCTTCGAATTCATTATACAATTTGAAATTTATTATCTTCGATAGTTTGAAAAGTTTGCAGTATTTTTACTTTCAGCAAAATAATTGGAATTGCGATTTTTTGCAATTGTTATTGAATTCATTTGTAAAACGACGCGACATATCATTCATGGAGGATATCGTTGAACCCGAATTAGTTGATGACTATATTGACGGAGTGGCTTGTTGGTATGAAAATACGAAAAGCTCAAGGCATTGTGAAAGCGGCACATTAACCGATGCCGCCTTAGAATTGTCAATAGTACGCAACGATATCAAAACGATGATGGAAACTATGGATAAGAAATTTGTGAAAATTTATCGCATATTAGAAGAAATGAAATTAAGATTGTAGGAGGTTGGATTTGTTACCTCCTCCCTACACATATCTACAACATATATTCTAAACTTATAAACTGACATACTCTCGCATGTTATCTAATCTCTTAACACATATATATCGCAAATATTTATTTAATTGTTTTTTTTTTTTTCTCTCTCAATATGACTATTAATTATACTTACAATACTTATAAAGTTTATCAAAAAATAATCAATCAATTATTATGAATTATATATTACATTATTATTATGATTATCTATCTATTAATGTAGTAAAACTTTAAATTCATGTTTCTTTTAATTTTAAATGAGCCGAACGAGACATAAGACATTATTATATAAACGCTATTATAAAATAGCAACAACAACAGCTACGAGAACGTTATGCAATAAAGAGCCCAATATGAAACCGATTCTTTAAAATATATTTGCATTTTATTTCCCTCTAATGATAGTTTTTACTTTTGCTTTTCAGACCCTTTTCTTTTACTACCTCTCCTTATTTTTCTTCTTCTTCTTCATCTCCTTCTTCTTCTTGTTCATAAAGAAGCGAAGGCATAAGGAAAAGTTTAAATAACAAGTGGAGGAAGTTTTTTAATTTAATCATTTCTTTATAGTTCGTGTTTATTATCTTAACTAAAAAAAGATGTTGCACTTTTCTTCATATTTATCTACCAGTAGCATATACTAGTTTTGTTATTTCGTTTGCGACATCCTGGATTTTGTTGACATTTATACGTGTAAATACTTATGTGTCTATGCTGTGTTACGCACGTATTTCAACGATGTAGATAGACTTAATAAAGTCTTTCGTCCGTACATTCGTCCACGCGTCTGAATCTTTGTCTTTGGTCGACCGTGTTGATCATCTATTTGTACATTCAAGCGTCCGTTTCTCCCTTCTTCTACTTCTTCTTTGCCTCCGGATATTTATTTTCTTTCTGCTAATTATGAACAAACGGGCATGCGCTCGCTTTGTCATTCCGTTTGTAAGGAATAAATACCAAGCATGTGAATAACAAATGCGCGCGCAACGTCTTCGGACGGGAAAAAGTGTTAATAAAACAACAAGCAGGTAAATTTTGAATATAAATATGAACAAAGCGGGTGCTCAAGTTCAAGCTGGTGTTCGATAAGCTAAAGGCGAGAGGAATTGACAAATCCCAATCGATTTTGGAGAAGTATAGCTAGCCGCCAAGGACTAGACTAGACATGAATTTATTAGGGTTCGCCACAGATCTGAAAATTAGTTACCAAATGATTGGCTGCCATTGTGAATCGAACACAACAAATCGGGCTTCAAATAGTTTGAAAAAATATCTCAACCTTAAAATGGAACCAAATTATTGACCAGCGACTCTTTACGCCGGTTTTAGATTTATATAATTATTTCCTATCTTTCTCACAATTCGATCCATTAATATATTTAATGACAGGTACTGTGCACATGTGATATCTTGTTTGGAGGGCTACAGCATAGGCGGGTAAACAAAAAGAGCGATTGCCAAGTCAACATATCTGGTTTTAAATACCAGCGCGGCAGACTGTATTTTAATTCCGATTAATGCGAGACCACATCTATAATGATTATTTGATTGGAAGAGTCGTAACACTAATACACCAGTACTGCAGCCGGCTTTCACACACTATCCGTCTCTCAGTTCTCCTTTCTCTCTGACCATACCACTGAATATCCAATGAGTATGTGGTCCGAAAACAAAGTACTAAGATAAGAGCAACTTGAAATAATCATCATAAAAAATATCTGAGTGATTAGGTTAAAGAATATATCTATAGCTGTCAGTGTACACTGGACACTGTATTACTGTTGTGTACATTTTACGCTAAAGTCGACATTTAACTCAAGTAGCACTATGCATCTGCTTGTCATGGGCCCTTCTCAGTAGTTCGTTGCACATATGATTGGAAGCCCTAGAAATGTACACTCATATTCGGAATAGAATGATTGCTCTTTTATTTCGTATCACACTATTCTGGGATTTCTTACACCCAACCCATAAGGCCAATAAATCCTATTCTAAATTAGCTTGTTACCTTACTGTCTTTTCTTCAATTCTTGGGCTTGTCAAAACTTTAAAGAAATTAAAAACAATATATATATACATATATATATGAGACTTAATGATATGGCTCAAAAAACTCAAAAAAAGCCTTTGGATATTAGGCATTTTTCATGCGTCTGTTTAGAGTGCTAGGTATTTATGATACGCTCCAATGTTTTTATTTATAATATTGAATTTCTTTTATTATTTTCTCTTCTAATTACATTTTTTATCGTCTACGCCAATTTAATTCCTTTCTTTATTGCTGCTGCTATTGGTGTTGTCTGCAACGGAAACGGAAGTTATTTTGCCATTATTTATATTGCTTTCTTAGTTTTTCTATACTGAGGCATCCTTGATGTCTTAACGTTAAATATTTATGCAAAATATACCTGGAAGTAATGTTCAGGTAAATTAATTACTACTAACAACATAAATTTATTGGAAACTTAAAGTTTTCTAATGAGATAAGAGCGACTTATACATGTACGTTTCCTGTATGCTTCCCTTGAAGGATTTTAAATTTTGATTTTCATTTTAATTGAGAATATTATTAAAACAAACTTTTCTGTAAGCCATGGATATAGAGAGAGAGAGACAGAAAGAGAGAGAGAGAGAGAGAGAGAGAGAGAGAGAGAGAGAAAGCGAGAGGGAGAGAGCAATATGTATTTTTATTTAACAAGAAGTTAGACGAAGAATACTATTGTACTGTATTTGCTATAATTATTCATTACCCATTCAAGTCGGACTATGCGACATTTTTATCATGACAGTGCTCTATATATAATGATAACACACCTGATCCCGACGCCTTCGATCCAAGCGTTTGAACATTCGGTAAGCTTTGCTACTTTTACTTTTAAGTTTTGCAAGTTTGGAACAATGACAGAAACCTCTTCTTCCTCTGGGCTTAAATAAGAAAGTGCTTACTAAAATTTCCTTTTGTATCTTTCTATCGGTTTTGCTTGAAGTGAATTAAAAAATTATAATCAAGTAACGATATAACAACCAAAATAGTACCCAAAATAGTTTGGGACTTTTTTTGTCTAAAGGGCAAACGAAAGGTAAAATCGATTAAAAATAAAAACAATCGCGACTTTATCAGATGTAGGCGCGTTTGTGTGAGACTTTGAAAAAGGTGGCGCAATTGAAATATGCAAGACACAAGTGATTTAAATTAAATTTCATTCAGCTTAGTTCAATTGAACTGATTTCAATCCTATGATATCCCAAGTTATTATATATATATGATATTGTCAAATTATTATATATATAATATCTTCAATGAAGTCATCGATTTTTGCTGCCTTAGCTACGCGTTTCACTTCATCTTAACTTGGCATACCTGTCTACAAATTTATAACAATATTTATAGACGTTAGAAATTGAAGAAAAGGAGTGCGAAGCGCAGAGTTCCGTTGAGATAAGAACGAACGCTGGTCGGCATTTAATATGTAGGTACATTTCTATACATATGCTTTTTGCGGCGATTATTAGGAAAAAACAAAAATTTAGGTGCCTCTCATCGCCATTTCATATTTCCATAAAGGATATGAATGTTGCTATCGTTTTGATTGCTAAACCCAATGTTTCCCAGATGAGTACAGGTCACCGATCAGCATGACATTCTTGCCTATGTCGAAATGTGAATGTCTAAATTGCATATTGAAAACGTACAATTGTTGAGCATACATATGTATATATATAAAACATATAAAATATATATATACATATATGTACGCACGTGGAATAAATCTCTCAACCAGTAATGAAATTCTGTTCGTCTCTGGCCGAATTTCGGTCGTGTCTATAAAGTTTTCCTTTGGGTGCTGCCAAAGTTTTGCAAAAAAAATGAAAATTTTGTACTAGACTATGCGTTATGTGGGTGTAGGCAATCTTTTCTTTAGATATACGTGAAAATTTTTATCGTTTTATCTGCTATAGTTTAGAAGAAATAGTGAGTGGTTTTGAACACAAAATTGTTCGCAGTGCTTTAACGGGTTTAGTGTAGTTCCAATACAATCTTAATCTTAAATTTTGTAATTGGGAAAACGTCTACCACACGCGTTCACACAGCCAGACAGGCATACAGATGGACAGATGGACGAAAAGTTACCTACACAGTCATGCTTACAACGATTTAGAATTTCATTTTGATCAAAAACATATACATACACTTTGTAGGTGCTCCGAAGATTTCTTACGGCTGTTGCAAACTTTTTAATAAAATCAAAATAATCTTAACCTTTGAAGGTGAATTTATTTCCCAGCGCCGTAATTCTATTATTTGTTGTACCGATTTTCTGAAAATTTTGCATACATTTATTTTATCACTTTTATTAAAAAGCCACAAATGCAAACGTAAACAATCCTATTTGCCGTAGTGCGATTCATTGCGATGACGTTTTCTCAAAGTCAACAGCATATAATAGAATAAATAATATATGTACATGTATATAAAAATGTGTATAAATGTATATACAATTTAAACTTGCGTACATGCTTTTCCCTGCACTAAAAAAGATGTGCCTTATAATAAACAAAACCCAGAACGCGTAACTTTGTTTTAACATTTCTTAGGTTATAGCAATTTTGTAACAGCTGCCTGTCCGTCACAAGCCTTTCAAGGAATTACGATTCCATTTTTTGTCGTTCGTTGATGCTTCGTTGAAACTATAGCATGAATGAATGCAATCATTTCTGCCACTCTCTCTCGAATATGCGCCAAAAGTCCAAAACTCAATTCCAGAAAACAGCCTTTAATCAGAAAGTACAGGGATAATCATCACCAAATTCCTGCATACAATCGCTTACTTGTCATTGGCACAAGACGATAGCGATGTGAATGCCTCGATATGAATCTTTGCATATGTCGTTCAATAACTTTGCTTATGAGGACAATTACAACGATAATGGACGAGTGACAAATGCAGGTGAAGTGGTCGAGACCGAAAA